TATCCTAATAGAGAGTACTTAATTGAAGTCCTTAAAATAAATAACAGTATAAAACAAACCATTGCTTATAGTATATTGGATATATTCTGAAGCGATTTTTATGTAGTACAATAGAAGATTTCAGACAGCATCTATGAAATATTTTTAATAGTTTTATGTTAATATAGATAAATTTGGAATTTTAAGTTTTATTTATATTGGGGTGAAGGTATGTTTGATTGTGAAGTGCATTAGTAGTTTGGCTTTCATTGTAGGATGTTTTTGAATTCACAACTAATAAATAAATAAAATCCACTTAGTATTGTTTGTTTGAATCTTCTCATTGATGTTTTTAGGATTGCAACTGGTCAGCCTCTAATTGACATATGTGCATACTGTACGTGTTGTCTCGATATAGCCTTAATTCACAAGCATTGTAAGCAAAGATGGATAATGGCTAACAGTGGAATCCAGGATACGCGTTTCATCCTATTTGGGACTCGTCAGCTAGATGTACCTGCATCTCAGAGTTGATGTTCACTCTGAGACTCGAACCCAGTACGTTTCGCTTGAAACGTCATCGAGTTATCCACTCAGCCACTGAGTCCTGATAGCCACTTGCTTGTGCAATGGGGTGAAGTCTAAATTCACTCATTATTGTTTGTTTGAATCTTCCCAATGATGTTATTTTCTTAAATATGAAAATGGAAAAGTAATCTTAAATCATTCATACCTCTCTAAAACAGTGAGAAGGTAATTACATGTACACTAGTGTTTAATTATAAGATAAATTTTCGGAATTCCTCATGAAGTTAACCGAACAAATAATAATTTAGGTTATCCAGCAGTGGTGACACATTACTTGATAAACTGACTGAAATGGTGAGACATTGATCAGCAGATTCAATTCTATCAATTTAATGATATCATGCTTACCGATAGAAATGAATATTTTTGGTGAACATCTTATGTAGTAGTATCATGGGTGTGTACTGTTGTTAGATGTTAGAGTGGTTGAAGATAGTCGTTTGAGTACATTGATTTGTGTTTTGTGCTAGTCGGCACTCACCATTAAGGGTTAGGCGAAATCTTGATGGAATCGTTTTACTCGTATCTATGTCACTCTGGTTCACAGTCAAATTTTGCCTCTGATATACTAGGAAATAGAATGTCAAGTCGTTCAGGCAAGTGGCTAAATTCCAGTTTAATCGACATTATTCATTCAATACTAAAGGACTAGACAAACATGACATTGTTCAATATTCAGTGATTAATTGATTGTAAACTGTTGAAAAACTCAGACTGGGACTAGCTGAATTTTGGTCACTTCATGAATTTTTGTCCCTTCTTGAACTGATATGCGTTTACGATAAAAGCCATCTATGAAAATTAGTAACTGTTTGGATAGACCTAAATGACACTATTTATTCAGTTTGTTTAAATTTTTACTGTCTTTTGTTTTGTTAATATGATTAAAATTTTTCATATTTCACTAGTTTCAACATCGAAATCTAATTATTTTTTTGTGGTATAAAACAATCATTTATACTGGAATGACGTTAACTGTAGAATTATTATTTGAGTCGAGGAAATAGCAGTTTGTTATCCCCCCGCAGTGTCTAAAACATTGAACAGCTGTCCAGTGTTCTTATAATATAGAAAGGTTCTCTAATCAGTTCATGAGACATTAGGGCTTCTTTTCAGAGATAGTTCATTGAATGGAATGACTTTTCTTCATTTTTTCAGTGAGTACTGTAGTTCGATGTTAAAATAGTCTGTGGCCTGTGTTATTGAAAACAGGACGTATGAGGTATCTTATGCCTTCCGATAATCGGTCATGAACTGAACTTCGGAAAATCACATAAGCACATGATTATAACTAAACATTTGGGTTTGAGAAAAATATCAATAACAAAAAAGTCGACAAAGCACACTGAAGAGCCTGACTCTCGGGAACTGACAAGATTTGACTGAATAAATAAATTGGAGATAGAACAAGCATACTCCTACAGAAGGGCTGTATTTTTAAAAGGATAGTGATTTATCTATCTTAAAGTTTGTGAAAAAAAGTTTTATAAACCCGGTGCAAGTATTTTATGATTTTCGAAAGTTTATGTTCTGCTAAACAGCACCTTTTGTATTAAGCAAACATTTCATGTATAGCTTATTAACTAGTTGGTATCTAATGTTGTAAGTGATTCATATCTGAGCTAAAGTCAATCAATCCTTACCGCTAGTGCACTAAATCATACTATGAATCAAACAAATTAAACTCCTGGCACTTAGATCATTGATTTAACTATGAAGCAATTATGATTATTGTGTAATCATATCGATTAGTATTATACCATATAAAGGTGCTCCTGAATTCGAAAAAAACAAGTAAATATTCCACTCGATGTGTAAATTAATCGTTATCAAATGAAAGTAGAACTAACCAGACAAAAATCTCTCTTTAAAAATATTTTCATTTGACTGATTATACTAATAAATTTAGGATACTTCATGTATTTATTATTACATCTGTTATGTAAATCAGGTAATTGGTCATATTTCTTTTTGGTTTGTCACAAATATAAATACGTGTTATAAGTAAAGATGGATAGTGGCTAACAGTGGAATCCAGGAAGCGCGTTTCGTTCTATTTGGGACTCGTCAGCTAGATGTACCTGCATCTCAGAGTTGATGTTCACTCTGAGACTCGAACCCAGTACGTTTCGCTTCAAACGCCATCACGTTATCCACTCAGCTACTGAGTCCTGATAGCCATTTGCTTGTCCCAAATAGGACGAAACGCGTGTCCTGGATTCCACTGCTAGCCACTATCCATCTTTGTTTATAAGGCTTGTGAATTAAGGCTATATCGAGGTAATACGCATATTATGCATATATGCCAATAAGATACTAATCAATTGCAGTTCTAAGCATCAATGGGAAGATTCAAACAAACAATACTAAGTGAGTAAATACGTATGATATTTTTCAACCGGTTTTGGTTCTCATGTAGTGGCAAAATATTGTAATAACTAAATAATTTATTTGCAATATCCCAATGAGTAGAAAAACTAGATTTTCTGACGTTTCGTAACTCAGTGTAAGCCACTTCTTTAGAGGATAAATAACCAAATTAAAATTAGTCTAAGTTTAAATAGTAAAACGGAACAATAAGAATATTAAGTGATCAATCAAAAAGCAGGTCTGAATAAATCAATGTTATGTTATTTCGGTCATGGTGATTCATAAGCGACATGTATGTAAATTTGTGTGTATGTATATGTGCACTGTTAAAGAATGAAAATTGTGTGACTTTTATAGTGAGGAAGGTAATAGTGTGAATTGTAAATAATATCAGACTAAGTGGCTATGATAGATAGTCCAAGTAGGATGTATGGTAAGCATTATAAAGAACGCTTCAGCTACTCTCCTTTCTTTGTAATTGGAAAAGCATTTTTGTAATATTTTGATATTTTTGAAATCGATTTGGTGATTGTTGAAAATGGCGTGAACTGCTATTGCCGATTTAATTTGAAGTCTATCCAGTTCTACAGGCTCTTTAGGAGGTTTCTTTGTGTACCTAATATGTTCTTTAGCACGAGTCAGCATTTCGCGAGATGACTCTCTATTCAAGAAAGCATCACAATCGACACAACCTTAATTGTAGACGCAGTTCTGTGTAGACATGAATGGGATTTTTTCTTTTAATCGAACTAAAGTATTTCGAAGTTTGTTCGTTGTTTTGTAATATACTTTAATTCTGTGTTGTTTTAAGATTCTTTGGAGTTCTTCTGTTGTGCTATGACGGTATAGTAAAACTGCAGTACCAATCCATGGCATTTCATTCGAGTTATCATTATTACGCACTGAACCGTTTTATTTTAATATACTTCTAATAATCTTCATAAGAAAATTCATAAATCGTAAGATACTAATTACATTCTTTTGTTCCTTTTGTTTGTCCTCTTCTGAAGTAATGATCTTGTTGGCTGTTTTTCTGATTGATCACTTAATATTCTTATTGTTCCGTTGTACTACTTAAACTTGGATTAATTTTAATTTGGTTATTTATCCTCTGAAGAAGTGGCGTACATTGAGTAACGAAACGTCAGCAAATCTAACTTTTCTACCCATTGGGATATTACTGTAGCGAACAGAACACAGGTGGGGACAATCGAATGTATTAAAGCACAAATTACAAACTACCTCACTAAAATCTGATAACCATACAGTAAACAATCAATTTGCAAAAGAACAATCAATTGTCTCAGTCTAAACTGTCCTTTCTGCAAATATCAGTCCGTCTTCTCTGATTTCATTGTTCATGCTTCATTCCTGTTCTTTCCTTATCGATCTTCTGCCAAAATACATTCTATGTCTGATCATCATCATATACTACTTATGTGTATATAAGTAGCCCACACCACATTACAAATACATTATTTAGTTATAACAATCTACCCAATGCTCAATTTATTTAGTAATGATATCTATTGTAATAACTGTTTTCTGTGATAAATAAAGTCGTTTGAATTTTAGAAATGTACATCTTCATTATCATTCTAATTGATATTAATGCTTATAGCTTATATCCTGGAGTACTAGTGAAAGATGTTATTGGTGTAGGTTAGCCGATATCAGGTGTAAGGGAGTTATCCACCAAATAAATTAGAAAATGATTACACAATATCGCAAGTTGGTTAATATTAAACATGTTAGCTATTGGATGCCAACTTAAAGGTTCAAATAGTAAGCGCTCTCCTTGAAACCTAAAGATCCTGTGTTAAATCCATAGCTTAGCCGTGAATGCCCACTGGTGAAGAGTCCCGTATAAGGGTGAAACGACTATCTAATGTTTCCTAGGTTACAGTGGTTGTCTAACTAAGGTCGGTTCATGATGTAAATTCAGTAACCTTAACAAATCACTTATACTAATGTAAATTCACTAAGACTGTATGTATGTATCCAGTATTTTTCTTTTCTTCCTCTTTAGCTTGCTTTTAATTCAGGATTGAATTCATTTCAATATGGGATTAACATGGCGTTTACGTTTATCATATGCAATTGGACATGTTTTAAATGATTTATGCGCATCCGTATGGTTTACATATACTTTGGTATTTTTTAAATTTGGTATTGGTATACCAACAAGTATGGCTGGTTTAATAATACTCGTTGGTCAATTAGTTGACGGTTTAATGACACCAGTAATTGGTCTACTTTCGGACAGATTCTCATCTCAGTCATCTATACCATTGTTAATACCTTCTTCTTCTTCCCACTCTTTATCGGCATCATCATCAGTTACACATAATAATGTTAGTTATCGTTTGCATGATTCTAATGAACATTTAGCAAATCATAATAGAAAATACATGTCTACATACTCTTCCGATGTTGTTCACTCTACTGATAATAATAATAATAATGATAATAATAATAATAATAATAATAATAATAATAATTCGTCTTTTTTCCAACGAATCAACTCTATTTTAAGAAGATTTCAACCATTTGGTCGTAAAATATGGCATCTTTGCGGAAGTATATTAATTATTTTTTCATTTCCTTTAATATTCGGTCCACCACTTGGTTCATCCAATATTAGTACACTGGCAAAAATGATTTATTATTTACCATTAGTGGCAATTTTTCAAGTAAGTTATTCATATTATGTTTAATTGTTAGTTTTATGATTGATTTACTGATGCGTTAAATATAAATTGTAAGTAATCTACTTTTGTTGCTTGATGGCTAGCTATGCTACCCTGTTGTATAAATTAAATTAAATGAAGCGCTCGCGCGCGAGACCGATAGGTCCTGGGTTCGAATCTCGCGAGGCGGGATCATGAATTCGCACTGCTGAGGAGTCCCACAATGGGACGAAACGGTCGTTCAGTGCTTCCAGGTTTTCCATGGTGGTCTAGCTTCAATTGACTCATGATCTCAACTATATAAAATTACTAAAATATCCACAAAACCCCCTTCTGAAAATATTTTTGAGTTAATGCAATACCATCAAACTGGTTCTTGGCTTTAAATTACTTTTTTTACTTCGCTTAGTTATACGTTCAAGTTCTATGAAAAATGAGAAATTCCCACTAATTTATAATTTATCACAACCTCTGATACAACTGCTCAAAGTATAAAACACTTGGTTTTGAGCAACCAGAATGTAGGTTTAAAGCTGGTTGGATCTAGACAACTGGGTAGCAGTTTCATCAAGCTTCATATGTGGTATGGGGCTTTAAGCCACATATAAAAAGCTAACTGTAATTGTGTCACATTAAATTAGAAGTTGAACTTTTTAAATACTCCATTCAAACTATCTGGGTTTTTTTTTTAAAATTTAATTGACGGATTTTGTAGTGAATGAATGTAGTTTCTGTGATTTGTGCATCCCAAATTTACTCGGAAATTTCAATATCATTATTTCAGTAATTTTGCAATTAATCAAGTTTTGTTACTAACGTAAACTGGCCAAATGAGGGGAGGTTAAGTGTTTTGAGTGCATAGGGTATGTGATTAGAAAAGTTATTATTGTCACTTACTGATGTACATTTATCTACAAATTACGTTCTATGAGAATTTGTCCAGCATGAATGGCATCAGCTTTGATGTCGTGAGATAATGGCACTAACATTATGGTACTGTTCAATAGACGAATGGCACAATTCCTATATGCTTCTGTCCTCAGTTGCTGTTACTAAATACCTTAGATAGAAAAGCTATTGACAAGGAGCAAAGTAAAATTGTTCAAGCAACTATACTCTGAATAAGGTGAAATTACAGCACACTAAAAAGTCCATAGGACGATATGAAAATAACTTCTTTTATAATAGTAAAAATGGTTGGTTTTTATTGAAAACGTTGGCTCAAAAAAACACAATTCAAACTTCAGTCATTTTGTAAGTAACTTTCTAATGAAAATCACACTCTAACTGTAAGGCTGGCTCGTTGTAAAACTCAAGGAAGCCTCATGAAGCCCAGAAACAGCCGAAGACATTCCATCCAATCACCACTAGGAGAACATTCTTGAATGTCGACGTGTAGCTTCTCTATTGGATGAATAAGAAGGACCCCCTATGTGCCTATTGGCTGTCCGAAATGATGATTTACTTTCAGCCAGATAACTATAAATACATGGGATTTTTGTACTATACTTGACACTGTTTGGGGAATAAAATTCCTACTTACCAGTCTTCTGTCTTTTCTCTTGCGACGTTGCGGGTTCGATCGTTCAAGTAGTTTAGTAGTACGCGGCATAACAAGAATCAAGGCTCTAGATGTAATACTAACATTCATAAAATGAATGGAAAAATGGTTTAAAGTTTTGGAAATAACTCAATTATTGAACATTTTAAACGTTGCAAATAACCTCGAGTTATTATATACTCGTGAAATATAACCAACCAAAACAATTCGACATTTGGTGATTAAAAACTAGAAAAATTAATCAATCCATTGTTTATGGGATTGTTTTTAGGCTGGATGGGCTGCAGTTCAAATTACTCACCTGGCATTAATCAATGAATTATCTATGGAATCTAGTGAACGTACTTTACTGACTTCCTTACGTTATTTATTTACAGTTCTTAGTAATCTACTTGTTTATATTAGTACATTTCTTCTTTTACAACATCAACATCATGTTGATAATAATAATAATAATAATAATAATAATAATAATGATAATAATAATATTCGTAATGATACTAATATTAGAGACTCAATGAGTGATATGCTACCATTGAGAAAATTGCTTAATTACAATGAAGTTGAATATATGATGTTACCTATGGTAATGACTTCACATCCATTATCGAAATGTTCAAATAATTCAATATCTTCACCGTCAATTATTGATTTTGGTAAAGATGATATACCAGCTTTTCAAAAGTTAGCTTTTACAATTATTGGTGTTGGAGGATTAACAATGTTATTATTTCATTTTGGAGTAAGAAAGAAAGATTTTATTCCCAATGTAAGAACTGTAACTATTGGTAAGTATTGTTTTCAATGTATATTATTGTGTAATTTGTACATATGGTTTAAATAGAATATTGAGAAAAAAAAGAATTATATTTTTTAGAGCAGAGATGGATCGTGATTAGCAGTGGAGTGGGTTTGAGTAGCGGAGCAGACATCAACTCTACAATGGAGGTACATTCAGTTGATGAATCCCAAATAAGATGAAATGCGCGTCCTTAACTCCACTGCTAGCCATCATGCATCTCTGATTTTAAAAAAATAAAACCAATGCTCGTGACTTAGTGGCTATATCTAGACAATCTGTATAGGATGAACATAGGCCAAAAGAGACTGATCAATTGCAGTCCTAATCATCAGTGGTAAGTTTCAAACAACCGTTATACAGAAGTGAAACACTTACAGTTTGTATTTTCTACAATGTAACGAGAATCATTGTTATCGTGAAGTAATAAGATCATAGTTTTGAGTTTTAAAGGGATTTCCACTTCCAACTTTTTCTAGGTTTTCAAACCCAATAATTTCTAGATTTTGGTGTATGTAGTATACACTATAGAGCTGTTGAAACTAAGTGGATATAAATTTATTACATCACATTATTACTTAAGATATACCAATTGACTACAATGGTCCACCAGGGTGTTTGATACCTGAGTGGTTGCGCCACAGGATTGGGCTGAGCTGTTCGGATTGTAACGTTGAAGCCTTTATAGTGTCTGGTTCTCCTATAGGGCGGGATTGAGCTGTACTGCTTGGGCTAAGCCTGGGCAGCGTCTGGCTCTCCTGTTAAACGGGATTGAGCTGTACTGTTTGGGTTGCCGCATGAAAGTCTGGATGGTGTCTGGTTCACCTGAAAACCAGTGCAAGATTACCCTGGCCCATAAGGGTATATTATATAACTGTGAATAATTGACTACAAGAATTAATGCTTACTGTATTGTTATTAATAGAGCACTAAGCACAAATATTAGAGTTCTCTATTCTATACTAGACAGTATCGAGTTGGGTGAACGGCATATTTTCACATATTTAAGTTGAATAAACAAAACTGATTTTATGCTTTTCATTACTAAATACTTTTCCCGCGTAACTTAATGTTTGACCACGGTTACCTACATCAGTATAAGCAGTGGCTTGGGACACATAACACTGCTTGTTATGTGTTCATTAATAAATGTCATAGTGTAGAGACTGATTCCATAGAATCTGTGAATGACTACACTGATCTAACCAGTAATATGTCCACAAAACTGATTCCCATATCCAATTCCAGTCTGTTTTTAGCGATGTAATCACTGACCAAGTAGCTTCATAAATTAGTGGATTAAAACTGCTATCAAGATAATTAAAATTATCTATTTATCAACTTAAAAATTGTTGACTATAGTAGAAAATGAGTTGCAAAAAGACTTCACTTCTTCTTTTTTTCTAAAAATCAATAAACCAATTCCTCTTTTTTATCTAATGGTTTACTCCTGACTACGAGATTGTTCTACCACATGAAATATCTATTTTAAGTGTATTGATGATTAAATAACTGGTAACATTATCGTCTCCGTTATATTCAGTGAACGTTTACTGTAGATTGTTGTACACTGATATTCCGTTGTCGCATTTGTTGATTAAGTAATGATTTCTGTAAAGGCTTCATGGAGTTATGGACGCCCTTTATTGAGGAGTCTTACATTGGGACGAAACAGCTGCCCAGTGCTTCCTGGTTTACAGCAAGTGTTTAACTAAGATTTCTTTGTGGTATGAACTATAAACAATGATTATCTAGCTAGAACGACATAAATATATAAGTCTAGAGCAGTAATGAAGACATTTCGCTTGTTACATTACTATTCTTAAAGTAATTACCAGAATGATTATATTGTTTTTAAGAAATTAGATTAATATTTCTGACTTGATTTACAATTGATTTTACCTAAAACTTAATCAGTGTCGTGTATATCTATTCATTATCTATTATTTACTCAAGTAAAATGAATCAATATTATTGAGTGAAGTTTTTGCTCATTTGAGTTAGAACGAAGAATGAAAAGAGAACAAAGCAAAACCAAATAGAATAAATGTGGAAATAAGAATATTAATAGATATGGTATTACTACGTAAGCATACGTATATATATATATATATATATATATATATATATATATATATGTATAAGATGGTGGTTGGAGGTGGTCAACAGGAAACCCTGGACCCGGGTTTCGTGCTACTTAGTACTCATCAGCAAGGTGTAACTGTAATCTTGAGGGAGCTGGTACTCCCTGACGGATTCAATCCCGTGTCACTCAGATTCACAGTCAGAGACGTTACCAATGAGCTATTTGGGCCGCGATCGACCTCCTGTAGGACTGAGGTGTAATCACAATTGATTGATCACTGGGTGGTGATCAATGTCATGCGTGTCAAGCCCTTCTTAGTGCTGATCGAATGCTATCGATCAAATTGCACTGTGGCCAAGTAGCACGAAACCCGGGTCCAGGGTTTCTTGTTGACCACCTTCAACCACCATCTTATATCAACATAGTGCACGCAGTGTCGAGCCATCTAGACTAGTGCCACATTGCAACTTGATCGACAGCATTCGATCAGCACTAAGAAAGACTTGACACGCATGACATTGATCACCACCCAGTGATCAATCAATTGTGATATATATATATATATATATATATATACCACATTGACTGTGGTCTACACGATTAGCTTCTCTTGACTTTCATGCTTGTAATCTCTCACATACACTTCAAAGTATTTTCATATGCTGAACTTCCATATGTCAGCGTCGATACTCTCAGTTGATATCCACTGTATATAATAATGGTAGTAGTGTAACATTGCATTGGAAGAAACCTCATGACAATCACACAAAAACAAATATTACCGATAAATGTGAAAGCACTTAATTAACTGTATAAATTATGTTTGAAGTTTGTGGGTTTGAATGTATTGTAATCTACTGCTTAATAATGATGAATAGTGATATTACTTTAAGGTTGGAAACGAGGATTTAAAATCACTATTCGACCGTTGAAATCTGTTAATGTTATTTGGTTACAAGTAACACCCTAGTTTGTAGAAATGTAGATAGATATCGTGAATATTTCACACCAGTGATAATATGTTCACTCGTCAGCATATTGGAGAGGATTGATACTGACTATGGGATTTGAACTTATATCGCTCAACTTCGTAATTTCAGGCGTCACCATTAGTTCCCTAATGGGTAATAACAATTGCAAAACCTAAATATATGGTTTCTTGCTGACTACCTTCAATCACTTAATATCTCAACACGGTATGTGCTGTCACTCACCTTGGGACTTAATCAATAGAATTCAATCAGTAATAAAAAACTAGAAATCACGATATCTTTCACTAATTAGTGATCAATCAAGTGTACAAAGAACGTTCATTTAACAAAAGTTATTACAATGAAGTATTTCTCATCGTACACTAATATCTACTGAGGAACTACAATTTAAAAAACCTAGAAAGGATATTTTTATGGTCAAAACTCCATATTGAGCAATTTCATGGGATCGAACCCATAAATATTATCACATAAGATCATTAAAATCTTATTTAGCTACTGAATCTAAAGTTAGTAATGTGATTTTATTCACTTCACAATTCATAAGATGTTTCTCAATCTTATTTTAATAGACTAGTTTACAAAAATTTACAACAAGTGGTGGACAGTGATGCAATTTTGTGGATTGGTTAAAGTTAGACATTAACACCGTTGGATGCCGTCTAGTTCAGTGGTTTAGAGGTTAAGCATTCGCACGCGAGACTGATAGGTCCTGGATTAGAATCCCGTGGGGTGGGGTCGTGGATGAGCACTGCTGAGGAGTCCCATACTAGGACGAAACGGTTGTCCAGTGTTCATAGGTTCTTCATGGTGATTTAGCTTTATTTGACTCATAAATTCAACCATTAAATTACTAAAATCTTCACAAAACTCCCTTCTGATAACAAATGATATGTTGTTAAACTATTCGCTCTAATTTAGACGAGAGCTCTTATATAAATGATATGTTTATTTCAACAGTGTTATCTGAATTGAATTAAGTTTTTAAAAATTGTTTAAACGTAAATAAATAAAAAAAGATATTTTTTTACAATTATTGACTACTCTTGCATAATTCATTAAATGAAGTGGATATTCCTAATCCTGAATCTGTCAATCAGATAAAACATCCTGCTTATATAATTACTACATGGAAAGATTGGTTACGTTTACCATTATTTTGGATTCTTGGTTTTTTCTACATGTTTGTTAGATTAATTGTCAATGTATCACAGGCAAGTTTAGTTTATTTGATTTTATTCTCTTTTTTTATGAAAAAATAATCATTTTCTATCTGAATGAACGATTATCATCTGTTCACTGTACAGAACATGATTAGTCAATCATAATTAAAATAACATTGTTTGAAGTGGCTCAGAATGTTACATTGGCTTGGCGGTTATGATTTATATCTCGCCTCATATACTTCAGTTTGGGTTAACGAGTATAATCACCAGCCTCGTAGTTAACTATATTAAGCTGTATCTAGTTGTTATACCGATTGATTAAGTGTGCCCTGTTAATATATATGAACGTGCTGATTCCCGCCAATGAGGGAAGAGCGAATTATCGATCGGAGCAATTATACGTATGATTGAGTTCTTGCCCAGTTGTTATATATGAACGTTATATGACCGCCTATCAAAGAGCAGTGAATTTATTGATCGCCCAATGATACATAAAAGCCATATGAGCAGTCTTGAGCACTTATCAGTCCTGCTATCTGCCTAGCCCAGCCAGTTAAATCCAGAACACCAATAACAGCCTCTGCAATATGAATCATTATTCACAAACATACTTGGTTTATGTACCAATCAAACCGACCACATCGTACCATAAAATAGAAAATAACATTTGTACAAGATTTAGCCAAATGGGGCTGTGAATAGGGGGAACAGTAATTGATAGACTAGGTATAACTCAATAATGGTGAATCGTATAATAATAGTTCAAAGGTCAAAATAAAACTCATAATAAAAGGAACATGAATATAAATAGTTAAGTTACTTAACAATTATACAATAGGAAATATATATATCATATTGATCCATAAATAGTTCTCAAAGTTACCATTCATAAAACTCCACGGGATATAACACTAGTGTATTGAATAATAAATAAAATTATTCATAATTCATAGCAGTACAATGTAAGAGAAGATTAGCAATATAAAAGTCGAAATCAATGTATGGGAAGATAACAAAAATAGAAAAATCGAGATCGGAAAAAATGGTATTTGAAATCGATCAAAAATTGCAAAGTATCCAAGAAGATTAGAACTGAAGATTTAAAACAATAATGAATCTATGTCAAAATCATTGATCTCGATTTATAACATTTAACATACCTAACTAGAATTATCACATAAACAGCAGTCTCGCGCCGGAGCACTTAACCGGTAGACAACTTAGCCGGCTTTTACGTTCAGTGCTTCCAGGTTTTCCCTCGTGGTCTAGCTTTAATTGACTCACGCTTTCAACTAAGAAAATACCAAATCTCCACAAAAACCCCTTCTGGTAATAATAATCATATGCTCACTAGTGACTGACTTCGAGAGGTAAATCCAGGAGTTCTAGTGAGAAGCAGTGATCAGTGGAGTTCAAAACCACGTCTGTTGTGAGATAGGAACTCACTGATGACAATTGGTGAACAGTTGCTTAACTTCGTGGATTGGTTGGAGTTAGACATAAACACCATCGGATGCCGGCTCAAAAGTCTATCGGTTAAGTGCTCTGACGCGAGACTGGTAGGTCCTGGATTCGAATCTCGCGAGGCGAGGTCATGGATGCGCACTGCTGAGGAGTCCCACAATAGGACGAAACGGCCGTCAAGCAGTGTTTTCAGGTTTTTCATGGTGTTCTAGCTTCAATTGACTCACACTTTCAACTATGAAAATACTAAATCTCCACAAAAACCCCTTCTGATAACAAAGTTGTAAGTTTCATGTTTCAAAGAGCATGCATCAGATTAACAGTCAATGACTTAATGGTACTATGTCTTGATTTGGTTACCCTTAACTGTTTTTCAACTTGATCTTATGCTATCGACGATCTCACGTTGGAATAAGTGGAGTCTAGTTACGGAAATAGACTACCCTTTTATATTAATCTGGCCATTTATATTATAAATAAACATTGGAAGAATAAATCGATACTGTTTTGATGCATTCATCATGAGGTCTGAAAGTAGTGGTTTCAACCTGGAAGCGTTCTGTATGTATCTGTTTATGTCTGAAGAATTTCAAATAAAGACGAAATAAACTTCACAATAACGTTTTACAATTATAGTATTCAACCGATCTCAGTTCGCTATCAATGTTACCTTAAACAGTATGATTGAATTTTTCAATTGAATTTCACATACAAGTGTGAAGTAAACGCCAAGATTACTGTCTTGTAGCATTAAGATAATAAAACTCATTTCAATATTATTAAAATCCATGAATCAGGTCGAAAATTTTAAATAAAACACTAAGGCTAGTGATAATCTTATGAATTAAGCACTAATGATATTGTCCGGTATGATAATGAAGGTTTCATTATCATGAACCATTTACTTTGCTGGACAAACGTTATGAATAATAATGGTAATTACAGTAATACTAATCATATTGCAGTGAACGGGAATACAGGTGAGGACAACTGATTCTGTATTAAGGTCAAATTACATAGTTGGTTAATAAAATACAAAAACCATACTCTGATACTCTATTTGCAAAATGTTCATTAATTGTCTCAGGCTTCATTGTTCCTGGATTTCCACACCAATTGCTTTCTATTTCTGTTCTTCTCTTTGTGATTTTCTCACTCTTCTGCTGCCAGATATTCTATTCCTCCCTCACGATATATACTACTTATGTCGATATAAGTAACCCACACCACAATATGAACTGCAAATAGAAATAATATTTATCTTTTTCTCATGTATTCTAATAAATAAAATCATTTGATTCTTATGAGTGATTTATTTGTAAATGTTCAAGGAGGTAAACCAATAGAAAAACAATTTTAACCACAAGTTATCATTAGTTGGTAAACGGGAACATTCGCAACTTTATATTAGTCGAAAGCTAGGACAACGAAAATATCCTTAAAATCTAACTTTGAAATATTAAGATATTTTAAGGAAACCATCACGATAAGACCAATAATTAGGTTAAAAAAAAAGGAAAGTAAATGTACAGATAATGATGTATTAAAGCCAATCAAGTTCAAGGTCAGTAGGACAAGTAACCAATTACTTGTCGAGAAATTCTCACAGCTTACTTCATTTTAAAGTTTGTCCTTTGAATGCTGTTTAGAAGGACTGAAAGTATCACAGTTTGGCCACTCATCTCTGTGAACACAATCTCTACAAAAAAGAAATCACTTTATATGGATATTGACTAGGTTTGAAAGTTGTGACTTCTTGACTACAATCGATATTGAATGAGGTTAGAAAAATATAGACCATCAGTATTAAACTTACCGTGATATCTGCTGATAATATGTTTAATTGCGTGAGAAATCACTAATGCATATTACTGATGGCTCGGAAACTCACATTGAATAGCTATCCAAAATTCTCCAATTTGAATAATTAATCCGAGAATGCCAAATCATCATGAATTTCTATTATTTAATAGCAGATTTTCTTCGTAATTTGAAAATGATTGAGTATTACTGTAGTAAACTCAAGCACCATTGTGAACAATCGAATGTATTTGAACTCAAAATTACAGAACGTCTTGGTAAAATCTGAGAATCATGTAGTAAATACTTCATTTGGAAAATATCAGTCAACTGTCTCAAACTTGACTGTTCCTTTTGTAAATATCAATCAATCGTTTCAGATTTCATCGTTCCTGCATTTTCATGCCAAATACTTTCCGTTTCCATTCTTTCCTTCTTCATCTTCTACTGAAATACATTCTATTCCTGACTGTCGTTGTATACTACTTATGAGGATATAAATAGCCCACACCATATTACTATGATAGTCATTCTTAAAATTAATATAATTTATTTATTCTACATGGAGTAGACTTAGTCTTTAACTTTCTTCGATCGATCTTTAATAAATTCATAATGCGTCTTAATGTAAATAATTGGTGGAAATTTGTTAAGGATTATTGTAGACTAGCCAAAATTTTGTACACCTGTTTTTTTTTAAAAAATTTACACTGAGTTAATTTTTTTTATTTTTAGGCTTATTTAACAATTTACCTTTTACATTCATTACGTTTACCTAAAATTACAATGGCTTTGGTCCCTTTAACAGTGTATTTGACAAGTATTGCTACTACTATTGTACAAAAACCAATACAAGATCGTATCAGTCGTGAAGTAAGTTTTTTTGTCTACTATTCATGTTTAAACATACATATCAATCAGTATCAACCAAAATAATGTGAAAGAAGAAGAAGCGAAAAATAAGTATCGTTTCAAATTGTCACACTGAACATCGCAGAGACAATACGGAAATCAATAAAATTCATAAAAGAATACTTGAATCAGTAGTTTATTTTCAGTATGGTGTTGTGGAAATTGTTGAGATGCATTGAAATCATAAACCAATCTAAGTTAGACTAATCTTGAAAACCTAGAGGCACTGGACGGCCGTTTTCTTCTTGATACGGAATTCCTCGGCAGTGCACACCCAAAGATCTGCAACCGAAAATCGTGTGCAGGAACTTCAGTCGCATGTGAGGAAGATTAAATTCTAGACCACTGAAGCAGAGGCAGAAGGTTAAGAAGACCGAAGAAAAGAGAACGAGAATAGAGAATGATTGGTGTGGAAATGAAGGAACAATGAAGTATGAAACGATTGACTAATATTTTGGAATGAAATATTTACTTCATGGTTCTCACATTTTACCAAGACGTTTTGTAATTTTGTGTTCAAATACGTTCGATCGTCCCCACTGATGTTCTCATTCACTACAGTATAACAAGAGCATATTAATCTTTATGATTAGACATGCCTTATTTTGTTGATCATCATCTTTGAAAAAAATTTAGTAATGAGAGCTGATGACTAAAGTTTCTCTGTAGTTCTACAGAATCATCAATCGATTTTTGCTAAATCAGCAACTCAATTCGTTTAGTATATTTCATTATTACAACGGATGGAATTGTAAAAAACCAGTTTAATGACTGTTATGTTCTGTACGTGTTTTTATGGTAGGATAACGTTTTATCAAATATCACCATAACTCATTAAACTGGTTGACATTGAAAACATAAATATGTTTAATTAACAGAGTTTATCGTTGATATTAAATCAGGAGAATTTTTGACTATCTGTGGATGCATTTAATCGCAGCGACAAATGCATTAGTTTTCACGCACTGTTGTAAACTCAATACAACTTAAGAAGTGTTTCACAATCTAATAATTTATATTTCCAACTTATGATTTTCAATCGTTCAACGTAACTGATGAATCTCTGTTTTACTCTATGCATGATTGGACTCCACCAGTCACTGTTATGTAGTCAGAGGTAGTCATCAGGAAACACTAGACCTGTGATTCTTAAAACTTGTCGCTCGCAAGTTAGGCATACCTACAATCTTGAAGGGACTGATGCTGCCTGGTGAAGTGAAACTTGGGTCATCCAATTTCCTATTCTGAACCGTTACCAAACACCTATCCAGACAGCTACTGTCCTCCTGTGGAACTGAGATATTTACTTTGATTAGCCTTTGAAAGGTGATCAATGTTATGTTTATCTGTTCTTTAATGCTGATCAAATTATCTCAGTCATACAGTAATGTTACGTCCTTGATCTGTCTACCCACTTTCATGCTGTGTATAACTTGTCTAATGTAGATTAAGACCTTGACGCGATAGGCTGACTGACGTAACCTTGAGGCTAGTTGCATGAGTTCGAAGTGGGTGTAGAGTGAAAAAACTATTTTATCCCTGATTGGCTGATAGGTACGCGCGAGAGAGAAAGACAACTGGAACACTACTCACTTTATTCCAATCCTGATCTGGTACCCGAATTCAGATTAGTGTAAAAAGATACATGAATAAATAGATGATTAACCTGACCACAACGTACGATAATTAGGAAAATACTATCATTCAAAAATGAACAATATTTAAGCGAACAATTATTTTCAATAATTCCATCATCAGGCTCTACAGTGTTAAGTCCATAATTATTATATTTTACAAAGGCCAAAATGAGGCATGTATTAATGAATTTGACAATGTTATATGTTACAATTGGTGAACGTTTGCATCTGTTACAACGTATGTACTCCCAAATTGTGTTATTTGTAAATTAAAAAGGTCACTTAGTAAAGGTCAAAATGATTTGCAGTAAAGTGTCCAGTCGCATTCAGTATTAATAGTAATATAGCAAAGATGAAAATGAAAAAATCTGTGGCAGTGAATCATACATCAAACGAAAGCTTATGATCTGTAGAATAGACTAGGGATAAAAGTAAATGTTACAGTTTTACAAGCTTTGAATTAAATGAAATAACGTCCCCGAAAATAACTTCTGTAGTTTGTTAAGGCTTCTTGTTTCGCTGTTCACATCAAGTAATATGACTATTATTCATTGATCCTTGAGTAATCCTTGAGTAAATACCTAATGCATTAAGTCTATAATCTCAGCAACTAAATTCAGAGCCTTATTTTTTCTATTTCCCTGTACATTTGTTTTTTCCTTTTGAATACTTTTCCATTTTATAAATTGTTCTAGACTTTTCTTTTTCTTTTAATATTTCTTCAATTTACAGACAAATTCTGGAATTGGATTAATATTTATTACAATATTTTGTATATTAGTTAATTATCCTGGTAATCCACCAATAATTTATCGTATTTATATTGCTGCTGGTATACTTGGTATTGGTTGTACTATTATATTAATTACATCATTAGCAATGGTATCTGATTTAATAGCAAAAAATCAACAACATGGTGCATTTGTTTATGGTTATATGTCATTTACAGATAAATTAGCTAATGGTATTGTAATACAAATTATTGAATTATTATGGAATGAATGTTCATCATTAACATATTATCAAAATGTTGAATCATATGGTATTGGTACATTTGTTCTATGTCAATTTATATTTTTATGTATTTATAAATGGCAAAAAAATGTATATAGTTCTAATGAGAATTTAGTTCATCAACATGTATAAGTTTTATGATATGAGATTCTTTCACCTTTTGGTTCTTTTTTATATTGAATTATTCACTGTTTATGGATGTACTTATTTTTTTAAAACGAAAGTTTTATGGAGATTTCAATATTTTCATAGTTGAAATCATGAGTCAATTGAAGCTTCAGGTTTTCCTTGGTGGTGGTTGATTTCAACTATGTAAGTACTTATTTTTGTTATCTCACTACTCTTCTATACAAATTATTTATTATATGGGAGAAAAGAAATATTGTTTTATAATCTGTTTTTCCTCCCCCTACCTCTCTATCTCCCTATCTCTTTCTCTCCCCCCTCGCTCTCTCGCTCTCTCTCACTTCTTCCTTAAGAATTATATAAAAAAAGGTCGATTAGTTTTGTATGTAATTTAGAGCGAAAGTAATTCAATGAGCATTTTATTTATCAACCTGTCAATTATAAAATACATAATTAAACTCAATGACTTATTAATATTATTCTTGTTTATTACAAAAATTCATTTATTATTCTTTTGTTTTTTTTTCAACATCAATAAAGAATCTGTTTCAGAAGTTTTTTTTTTACTTTTTTCATAAAGAGTGGTTATAACTTTCTTAACTGAAAGAGTCTTCTGGTTGTACATTTCAGTTCCTTCCCCCCACCACCACTACTCTTCTCTTTTTTCATTCTAGTTTTTCTTACATATATATATATATATATATATATATATATCTTAACCCCTTTCTCTTCCCATTTTCATTGTTTTGTGTGGCGCATATATATCTGGTACCCCTTTGTACCAATATGTATGTGTTTAAATAGATAAATAAGTTTGTTGTTTGTGTATGTATTTTATGTTTGCCAACTTTTAGAATTGCCCTTATCATAAGATTGAATATTGAACTGCCTCATTTGTAAATGTTGTATTGTTAATTACTATTTCTGTGATTAGTACAAAATTTCATCAATCGAAAAGGGTTAATTCTTACGTAACTTGTTGCAATAATTAATAGATTATGTAATTTTATTTTGATTTTAATTTAGAAGCTATTGAGTTATGTTTTAGCATTAAAATGATGTACTTGATGATTCTCATTTTTATTTGCAATTCAATGATTCTTCAACCTTCGATTTGTATTTTTATTTTTATTTTTACTTAACATAGAAACATATCAACACTGAATATCATTCATTGATAACTCATCTTACACATACATACACACACACACACAATTCATTCAGTCTCCTTTTGTTTTACATCGCTGAACTTTTTCACTTGATTCTCATTCAACTGACTTATATTATCCTGTTTACATGAATTCAACATCCAAATATGATTGGTTTTACGTAGTATAGTTTTTGATGTTTGTTAAAAAAACACTATATATTTCTTTGATGATTTTGATTTTGATCATTATCCTGAAGAAGTCCAGACAAGTTAGCTGGACGAAACGTTGGAATTATTTATATTTCAATCGCTGAGACTATTTCAAATATAATTTTTTCACATATAATGACTTCTCTATACCCGGCGCCTAATTTTTGTCAGGCTATTCGTTCTAATTTTGACGAATATTTGTATAAACTATTGAATTACCATTTGATTACTGGTTTTTTTGTGGCGAAACTATAATTTGTATACGAATCAATGAATTTAGAGGCAGCACATTATGGATTTTGGCTCGAAATTCATTTATTAATATGGTCAAACAGCATTTTGACACTCCAGCTAATATCATTTCGTGATGAAAACCCTAACTTTAATTCCTAACCCTGAATTCTAACTTCAGATCTTAATCCTAATTACTCTTACCAATTTATAACCGCTTTTTAGTTCCATAAAGTGGTTAACTATTCTCAAGGTCATTTGAATGTCAATCAAAGGTTATCCATAAATTATAGTTTCACCATTTTTTTAAATTAATATTAATGTATTTATGATTAATACATCATTTGATGTTTAACATTGGTTTTTACCTATATAATTGTAAAAATGAACTACTCTATTGTTAGTGTAAATGTATGATCAGAGGAACTACATGAAAGGAAATGTCTTCTCATTCTGCTTGTTATATTATCTTATGTAAATTTGAAATTTATTTTGTTTATTCCAGCGCGAAGTAATCATAGTAATAATAATAATGATTGTGTATATGGTTTTTTTCGTTTCAAAATAAATGAAAATGAAAACCCTTTTTTTACACCATGTTTGCCTACACACTTTTGATGTGAATCATATTTTATGTCATTTACATTTTCTTTTTGTTCAAATAAATTTACAGAATTTTTTAAATAGTTGAGTTCATGAATCATTTGAAGCTAGATCATCATGTAAAACCTATAAGCAGTGGATGGTCGTTTCATCTTAGTATGGGACTCCTTGGCAATGCTCGTTCACGACTCCACCCCATGAGATTTCAACCCAGGACCTATCGGTCTCATGTGTGAACGCTTAACCTCTAGATCACTGAGCTGGGCGACATCCAGCGGTGTTAATGTCTAACTTCAACTACCATTGTCTCCAGTGAGTTACTATCTCACAACAGATCCTGTTGAACTCCACTGGTTACTGCTTCTAACTAGAACTCCAGGAAATGCCTCTTGAAGCCGGTCACTAATGAGCATATGATGATTAGTATCAGAAAGGGTTTTTTTGATAATATAGTAATTTTTTGCTTATTTATTTTAAAGAAATTAATGACTGAAAATTAATAGATCTATTATGTCCACTCTATTTTTTTATGTGTGAAAGAATTTCGACCTATCGGTATTGTTACTATACTCAATAGAAGTCGTTTAACGTTTAAGCATGAAGGGTCGTACTATTTTAATTAGAGATCATTGTGTTATATTTTACAATCCGATCCAGTAACGATACAGTCTTCTTATAACATGCAAAATCCCTTATACAAACGTGAAGAGTAATAATTAACAAATAAAAAGACAGAATAAGGTAAAGACAATGTATAAGAATTCAGGAATAAAGCATTCGAGATGATCACATCACTGACCACTAGTTTACCATTTGGATTGAATTGATTCATTTGATAGTTAGGTGCTCTGTCAGATATTGCATTTCAAAATGAGTATACACTCGTGTGGATTTAACACGTCTATATTGAACACCTTGAGTATTTGTATAAGTTGCTTCGCTTATAATATCTCATGTACCCTCTGACCTTGAGGTTAAGTACGAGCACAGGCTAGTACTATGTCTATGCTTGTTGATTATATCACTTACTCTTCCTTGAATAGATATCTTCCTTTTGGGATTCAGTTACTTGATTTCAGATAAAAGAACATCAGCTTGTCATTCCATATCTCCTTGTCGAACAAGTGTAAACCGTTGTGGATGTGTATTGCTCTAACCTTCACTAATTTCTAGTACCACTGATAATAATATTTTAGATAGATGACATCAGAGAAAGAAGGATGAAACGACAAAGGAAGAATTTAGATTTGGTAATTTAAGAAATCATTACCTAGTGAAACCATTAAATAAGTAACCAGCAGAACTTTAGGGGAATTAAATAGCCATCTACAATCTAGTTTTTGGCTTCTCATAGAAGTACAAATCTAGACTCTTCAAACCACATGTTGAGCACGGTATCACTTAACCAATAACTCAGAATATAATTCTTTTGCTCTGTTTCATTCAATTCACTACATAATTCGGAAGTTATCCGACACTTGTTAAAGCAGACGAATAATGCTGTGACGGACTACAGCAGTGGGGACAACTAAACGTGTTGGGACACAAAATTACAGAATCTTTTAGTAAAATCTGAGGACCATAGAGCAATATTTCATTTGAAAAATATCTATCAATTATCAAATACTTTGAGATAGTATCATTTGTAAATTAGAAATAATAGCGACCCAGATAGTTTAGTTAGAAAAGTTTTATCAGAAGGTAAAAATAGTACAAATTCTGACACGATCAGCAGGAAAACCCTCTATATAATGATCGATTTTAGAGGGGACATAGTAGGTGACATTTTAACATGTCAACTCAAAGAATCCAGAGAAAGGATAATTCATGCCTCCAAGCTACATATAATCTTTTTGAGCAAACCAATACTTACACAGCAAATTAAGGATAGGTTACCAATGACGGGCTCCTCCAGGTATGTACACCAATTCAACTGCTCCTTCAGAGCTAGTTACATAAGGCGTACTCAGAGGGCTTTATCCTTGCGTTCTCCTGAAAATGTACCAGCGTAATTGCGAGAAGGAGCCACAAGATCTGTCAACAACTCCATCCTTTCTCATTTGGTGGACAGTAAACATCATATTAAAATAGATAAAGATTTCCTTGTTTTGTATCAACTTCCAAACATTCTACCTAAAGTAGCTAGAATACAACCCCGCTGCATAGCTGAAGCTATCTGCGTCAACTCCAAAAAGCTAAACTATGTATCCAGAAGAGATGTATCCAGCCTCTGTGTTTACCTTGATCCATGACTGAATCACGAGATACCTAAACTGGATACCATAAACCTCTTATACCCCCAATTCCTTTAATGTTTATATTTTCCGTAATCTGCACATTAAAATTCCCTAATTACATGAATTTTTTGTCATAATTACCTTGGCAACACCTCTCTCCTTACACTTTATATTCACACAACTTTATTATTATTGCTATTACTACCATTATCTACGTTGAGAAGGTGAAGTTCTCCTACCATGTATATAATTTATACGGCTTATTGTATAATCGTTAAATCGATTATAACTTGAGACTTTACTACTATTCATTCTGACCTTTTTTAAATGATCTTTCCAATTTACAAATGAAACTACCTTAAAGTGCCCCTAAATGCCTTGGTACGGCCGAGAGTGGGGAGAGTCCACTCCCCCTCTCGAAATGTTCTCACATGGCCACGCGTATATAGCCTCTGCCAGGGAAGTCCCACTCACTGCCTTTTCGTGGCGGGGGTGTTGTTTACAAAATTGAGAGGACGAAAAGCGACATTTCTGCGCTTTAACCGGGTTGGTGGACACGGAAATTTCACCTAGGG